TGACCTCTTTCTTCACCATGGTTCCGTTTCTTTTGTCGTACCGGCTTCTTTTTCGGATCCACAGCGAGTTTGTGTACTGCCAGATCAGGACTAATGCCTGGCATTTCATGGACTTCAAATGCAAAGATGTCCTTGTATTCTTTCAACAGGTTGTGAAAGTCGTCACCAAGGTTTCTCAGAGCAGTCGTCCCTACTTTGACTGTTCGGTCAGGATGGGAGTCGTCTAATATCAGGTCCGCATGCTCACCAGCCGGCTGAGGGCGGAACTCATCCGGCCGGTCCTCTGCCAATGATTGCTATTTTCTTGCTTTTCTTGCGGACTCAGTCTGGGGTGCCTTTCTCTTTTTGTCGCCTGTTTCTTGAACAGGCGCACTTTCCTTGACATTGTCAAGGTCTGTTTTTTCTCCACTTGACCCAGTGGCCATAACAGTGGGCTTGACATCCGAGAGATAGCACTCTCGGGCCATCCTCTGATCTCCCCTTAGGGAGCCGACTGTTTCATTGTCCCTTTCAAACTTAAGCAGCATAAGTGACGGGATTATAACAGCCTTGGAATTATTCAGGGTTGGTCGACCCAGAATCATGTTGTAGGCCGAGAGTTCCTCTACCACTAGGAACCGGACTACCATGTGTCGTCCTTCCCCTTTTTCGCCCAGGCGAATGGGTAGATCTACTCGTCCCAGTGGGTGGACGACTCCTCCTCCAAACCCTATTAAAGGGTGGGAGGCCGGATGTATGCAGTCCGTCTGATATTTCAGTTTTGACAGACATTTGCTGCTGATAAGATCTGAGGAGCTCCCGGTATCTATGAGGATTCGGCCAACTCTCTGGTTGGCCACTTTACATTCAATGACGAGAGGGTCGTCATGCGGCCCCCTTATTCCTCCTAGATCCTCTTCAGTGATGACAATCTCAGGAAATGTATATTTAGACGGCCGTTCTTGGTGAACAGAATTTACATCTAACCGCCTTATATTATCTTTGTTGCCCCTAATAGTGGGACCGCCTCCTGAGAAGCCGCCTGCAATGGTGTAGACGACTGCATCATCTGTATCGGAACTGTCGGCCTGTTGATTCTTTTTGGCCGACTGCTTTTTTGAGGAAGTATTCCCCGTAGATTTCTTGACATAAGTGTCAAGATCACCTTGATCAGCCAAGCGGTCTAGGTACCGCATGAGACTGATGCAGTCATTGGTGTGATGACCAATGTCATCATGATAAGCACAGATTTTGTCTTGGTTCCGGTTGCTCGCAGAACCCTTCATGGGGAGCGGCTTCTCAATTGAGAGCCGTCCCTTTATTTCTTTTAGGATAAACTGGTTATCCTTGTTAAACACATACTTTGGGGAGTATGGTTTGAATTCTTTTTTCTTTTTCTGGGCCGGCTGTTTAGAGGAATCAGCCGCCCAGACCTCTTTTCTTTTTTCATCTTTGTTGGACGACTGTTTCTGTCGTCCCTCTCTGTTGTCGAACCTCTTCCCGTCCGACTGTTTCATCGTACACAGATCAGTCGCCTGTATATAGGCTTCTGCTTCAATCAAGGCCTCTTGAAGAGTCGCCACCCTTTTTCGAACTAAATCAAATTTGAAGGTAGACCCATCTTTGAGACCTCTAAAAAAGTCAGTATAAGCTACCTCATCCGGTAACCCTTGAATCTGTATTCTCATCAGGTTGAACCGCCTGATGTAGGAACGAAGCCCCTCCTTTTCACCCTGCTGAATTATTCCCAAATCAAGGGTCGTTTTCTTCGCAGGGATGTTCATAGCGAAGTTGGAGGCAAATAAGTAAGCAAGTGTCCTGAAACTGTTTACACAACCAGTCGGCAGGTTGCCGAACCATTGCTGTGCAATTCCCTTGAGAGTCGCTGGGAAACACTTGCACCAAGTGGGATCATCCAACCCTTGAAGGTACATCAGGTTGGTGAATGCCATCAGATGGTCTTCTGGGTTAGTAGTGCCGTCATAGGCGCCTACTAGAATATTTTTTACTTTGGCCGGCTGAGCGGCTTCAGTAATTTCCTTGGAGAAGGCCGACGGCTGTTCACCAAGTCTAAGCAGCCGTAGCTGCCAGTCCATAGGTTGGACGTTTTTTGCTGCAGGTCCACCAAATGGAGGTGGCTGCATAAAATACTGTTGTTGCGGCACAAATGGTAAGTTTGGTACCGCCTGGGCACTATAAAAGCCGGACTGACGGGAGGTGCCGCCTGACTGACTCTCATGGTACGACTGAGTTGGCCTCATCGAGGCATTTCGCAAACTGTCCTGAAAATTTGAAGTAGAAGCCGACTCTGATAATCGGTCACTCTTCTTCTGCTCTAGCAGGTGCCGAGCATCTGTGAACGTTTGCTTTGACCCGTCCGCCTGAATATGACGAACCGGTTTCCTATTTCCCGTAGGATAACGGAGTTTTGTGAAATCAAGAGCAGACGGCTCCCGCTTCTTGGATTTAGGATGGGGAGTCGCCTCTCGCCCTTGAACTGACTTCCTCTTTAGTGAAGTGGAAGGTTTCTTGGCCGACTGCTCTTTGACTGAAGCAGGCGGTTTTTTGTTGATCAACTCTTGGATCTCTCCCTTGAAATCCCTCATGAAGGTCATGAGTTCGTTCCTTGTGATGGGAGCAGACCCATCAGTCGGCTGTTGCCGAGCAAGCGGTGCGCCTGCTGGCTCGCTTCCTGTTTGAAGATACTCCCGTTCCCTCATTTCGGTATGACGGGTACGTCGGGCCCTTAGGGTCCCGTCTGGAGCTGTATGAGTTTCAACTTCAAATTCACTTTCGGTATCATGGTCCGACTGAACTTGAGGGTCGTCTAGGGGACGCCTCTCTTCTGGAGTCGGTACAGACTTGGATGCCATCTCTGAAGTACTCTCCCCACAGACGGCGCCAAATGTTTCGGGGTTTTCTGATGTCCTGCGGGAGAGTTACAATTCCGAGACTGGAACCGGACGCCTGTACCTGCAAAATAACGGAGACTCCTGAGAGCTCCGCCTCCAACGGTCAAGTTAGTACCCGATTAAGGAGTAATCAATACAGAAATTAAAGTAATGAGATCTCTCTAGGTGAGAGTGCTTAGTGTTGGTAATCTGCGTTGTTAGCGAGATTAGCCGGTTGTTAATAAGTCTGTTCTTCTCTGCTTGATCTCTTAATTATTCCGTCCCTGATTAATGAGGATTAATCGAGTATTTATAGCCTTGGGAAGCGTGCAACTCTCTAGGTTTAAGGTAAACCTAGGGCTGATCGGGCCTCTAGACTGAATTGGGCCTTGATGGCCGGTTGTTCCATTTGGCATGGGTGGACACGTGGCGTGTCTTAAGTGGTCCATGGGGGACGTATCTGTGATTGACACGTGGCAGGCTCCTGTTGGCCTTCGTGAAGGACACGTGGCGGAACCTGGTTGGTCCACTTGTCAGACGGTGATTGGTGGATAAAAATCCCCTAATCAATAGTCATTGTTCAAAACAGGGGTTTCAAACACACACAAGTAATAATTTGATAATCTAATTCTCTGTGGGATCCACCCTAGCTTACCCTACTACATTTTTAGGAGGTCAAAGTTAGGTTTATTTTTTGGTAGACCATTTTTCAATACCTTGCAATAATATCAACAAAAAATTGTTTCAAAATGCTCTTTGTGAACTTGGTGCTAGTGTTAGCATCATGCCATATTCCATCTTCAAGAAGTTTAAGTTAGGTGAGCTCCTCCAAACCAACATGACCCTACAATTGGCAGCTTGTTCTATTAAGTTCCCTAAGGGTAGAATTGAGGATATCCCCCTCAAGATAGGGGAGTTCACTATCCCCGTGGACTTCAATGTGCTAGAGATTGCGAAAGATGATAACATTCCTATCATTTTAGGGAGAAAGGTGGCATTATTTACTTTGTGTGTTGGTAATGATTTGGCTAGTTTCAAGCTTAAGCCCATGCATGGGTCCCTTTCTTTTATGTAAGGAACTATGTGCATTAATTCGCTTCATTTGAATGATATTTCTTGCACTATTTTGTTGTCTACTAATGATATTCTTGAAGGTTGTGACAATGCTTCTATAAGTGTTTATAGCGAGTTGGTTAGTGAAGGCGAGAAAGATACCTCAAGGCTTGAAAGTGTGATTGAGATGTCGGATTGGTTTGGAATTGCTTAGTATGATGATGAGATTAGTGGCATAGATGGTATGGAGTTCATTGCTCCAAGGATGAAGAAAACAAAGAAGAGAAAAGGATTTCCCAAGAGAAAGAAGGAGAAGTTAAAGTTCATTAAGCTTGATCAGGTTTTTATGATGCAAGATAATAAATCTCATAATGTAATTTTGCTAAAACATGGCAACGATTCAACTCTCTACTCCACTTTGGACAAGGTGATTTTCTCTGACCCTCAATGACTTAGAGGTAGGTTCGAGCTAGGGACCTTAAACAAGCGCTTCCCGGGAGGCAACCCAGCCCTCTAACCACTAGACGAAAAAGATAAAAAGTCACCGGTTCAAACTCCCCCTTTGGCACCGATTTTGAACCGTTGGGTATTTGAGGGATGCCAAATCCATGAAAATTTTGGCACCGGTTCAAAACTGGTGCCAACTAAAGCATTTGGCAACGGTTAACCGGTGCCAACTACATGCTTTGGCACCGGTTAACCGGTGCCAACTACATGCTTTGGCACCGGTTAACCGGTGCCAACTACATGCTTTGGCACCGGTTAACCGGTGCCAACTACCATGGTGCGTTTTTTATTTTTTCTGTCTTCAATACTATTAGCACCGAATCAAAGCAAGAACCGGTTCAAAAAAAGCCACTTTAGGCACCGGTTCTTTCTTTGAACCGGTTCCAAAAGTGTAAAAAAAAATTATAAACTTTTGGCACCGGTTCTGGTCAAAACCGGTGCTAAAAATACCCCAAAAAAATAAATATAATTTTATTTTTCTTTTTGCATTTTTTTCACTTAAATTGTACCAAATAATTATATATAATACTAATATACATAAAACACATATATTTTGTTCAATAACTTGTAATATTACACTTTACAAAATTGAAAAAAAAAACAACATATAAATTTGTTGATGGCAGACCATATGAGAAGGCCTGGTGATGGCTATTGTTGCTGTTTTGCTGGCCTGGTGCTGTTACATTCACAAGCATAATAAAAATAAGGGATTAAACAACGTTGTCAACGATAGTGCATGTCAACAAGATAATTATAAAAGCTGCCCAAGAACACCTCCGATAACTCCAAGAACTATCACAGCCAGGATATTATAACTACTACTGTTCTGCTTCTGCTACTGCTTCTGCTTCTACTACTTTGTGTTCTGCTTGTTGTTCTGCTATTTCTATTCTGCTTACTCGTCCCTAGGAGAAGTATTTCAACGAGGAAAAGAAGGCAATTGGTGAACTTACTCAGAAAATAACAGCCAAGTATGTAGTAATTCAGTACACAGACGAATATTTCACATCGTCCTCATAAAATAATGTACGAGTACTCAGCAAAAGTTGCAAGAAATTACCTAGGAGTCTGTCCTGCCCATATATCTTTAGAAGTATAGTTCTCTTTTACTTTTATGATTCCCTCGTCCCATGCTTCCTTATGATTCATGAGATCAAAAGCACAATCCCGGCATTCTTGGGATGTCTTTGAAGAAAGTAGCAAGACCAACTTGCATGAGATGATCCTGTGAAATCCATCAAAGGCACAATGATTTTAATGTTCTGCTTTCATTCCCAATTTTCCTCGACTTAGAGTGCAAAGAATTTGCTCTATTATTTATCATTTCAGAACTTTAGTTTTCTATCTCTAAGAAACAAACATCAGCATTCTTATGCATAACTCCTCAAAAAAGTATTAAATCAAACTACTGGAAATACTTGCATGAGTCACCGTTAAAAAATATGCCGGAACCTTAGCATCATAGCAAACAAAACCTAAGATCTCAGTTCAGCCAAACCCCCTTGATTCCGAAAAATGATAATGCACAACCAATTAATGTAACTATTACCTTTGCAGCCCTCATGATCAGCACGGTTGTAGTAATTTGTTACAAGCACCCTCTTCTCAGAAATGGCCAGAGCAAGAATTCCACACATTCCAGCAATTTGTGCACCTATACCAAGTCCGGGGAGTCTTTCCCAATCAGCCACAAGATTCACTTGAGGGTCATGACAGTTCAACGGATGCTGATGAAGCCATAAATCACGCTGCACTTTCCTTGTCAAAGGATAATTTTCTTCATCAGATCCCCAAATCTACCAATGCAAAAAGAATACCGATATTAGATTATAACCAAAGGTGTAATTGATATATATAGTTGAAGATAATTGTTAACATTGTTTTCATATAGAAACATACCCAGGGAGGATAAGCACCTTGAGATATATCCTGATGCCTAAAATCATTCAACTTCTCATCCTCTTAATCCTTAGAGTATACGTCTAATGATCCCTTCCAAAGTGTCCAAGGGGGGAATGTTGCATTACCAACACGCGTATCTAGCCTCTTGTTCATCAAGGCCTTCGACTTGCAATTCCCTAAATGAGGGTCATTCAGGACACTTGATTTCGTGTTTGTCCATGGGTCTACTGATTCATTTAGTAAGGTACTCCAAGTTAGATATAGCATAGACATCTTACCGTCGTCACAACATAAATTTGTTCCCCTTGGATTCACTTCCTTCTCCACTGTTCTTGATTTAGAGTCACTGTCTCCTACTGTATCACATACATAAAACAAATTGAAACTCATACATAAGGAATTGGTGTGGTATATTCATATCATAACACATGAACAGTAAGAACGAATTGGTGTGGTATATTCATATCATAACATCTGAACAGTAAGAATGGCATTCTTATTGAAACTCGTCACAACATTAACATGAGGGTTCCTTACATCACAACATTTACAATGCAAGAAAAGAGATGTAGCCATTATGAGCATTAACATGAGGATTCCTTACATCATGTAAAACCTGTGAGTTATTTTGTCCATATATGTCGAAATATTGATCGGATTACTTTATGGTCGAGTCGAGTCACTTTTTTACGCATCAAATTAAAAACCCCTGTCATAGTGATAACTGATAAACCCTTAAGAAAAACCTTGACCATAGTTAACTCACAAACCCTTGAGAAAAACAGAGGAATAACACATTTATAATCATAATAAACTAATGGTGAAACTAAAATGAAGAAAAATCAGGAATAAAAATACTAGTACATTGGCAATTTAATTGTAGTTTATTTTACAAGATCAAAGTAAAGAAATGGATTTAATATTAAATAAATAATGTGCAGTAATTTATTTAAATAAGGAATACTTACGAGACGATGATGAAAATTAGTGGGTAAAATGAGAGAGAAACGAGAAAAATGAAAATTCTTCCAGTAAATTTCTTCTTCCCATGATTTATAATTCCCAGACTCCATTTTTTGCAGTGAAATCTTGTTGAAGAAAGTGAAATTCCACCCTAATTACAAATGGTTGAAGTTATTAAGAAGATGAAGGAGGTGATAACTGATAAACCCTTAAAATCTGATTAATAGTTAGAAAAATATCGTCCTGTGTATATCAAGATGGGAGATCCATATTTCCTTACAAAATAGGTTGCTAGATTAGGATTATATTGTATAAGATAAGAAAGTAAAGAGCGCGGAAAATTATCAAAACAAGGTCTAACCCCCCCCCCCTGCCCCAACACACAGACACACACAAAAAAAACTCCTAATCGGTACAGAATAGAGGTTCCTAATCCAATACACCTCGTCCCTTAATGCAATGCCTAAGGGACTACAAACACATTCACCATTCATCTACCTGCATCAATGTCCGTCCGTCTTAGTCAACTAAACATTGCCAGAAAATTGCAATAAAAATCACAATAAAATCTTAAATATAAACAACAATTTAATACAGAATTAGCAAGAAAATAAACATATCTAATCCATAAACTAAAAATCGCAACAAAATATTGAAAATTATTAGAGAAAACAACCAAAAACAGTGTTAGCAGGATTCATTGATTATATCAATGGACTCCAGTAAACGCTGAAATTTTGAATAATTCGGCAAACAAATTGGGTTTTCTACCTTGCATGATTATATCGATCGACTACAATTATTGATTGTATTAATTCAAAGGCGAAATTTTACCCAAAAATGTTAAAAATCTCTCAAGTTTTTATAATAATTATTGCTCAGAAATATCAAGTGATAACTGATATCTAGTGTTAAGGAAAAATATCAGAAAAATTACCTGGTGGTCGGTAGCCGACCCACGAAGGACGGTTGAGGGGAACGGAGGGTGGCCGGCGAAGGGTGAGTAGCGGCGGGTAGAACATACTCTCTCCTTCTCCTACTTATTTTGTTTGACAAAAAATAGAAATAAAACCAGAACCCTAAAATTACAAAATTGAAAACCAAATCAACGACAAACCTAGGTTGCGAAGAAATTCGGTAGATTAAGAAGAACACAATGGCCCAAATCTTACCTCAAAGCTGCTTCAATGGAGGTGAGAAAACTCAGAATGTGCTTCAATGGAGAATAGAGAGCAAGAGTACAATGGAGGAGAGATATGGAGAGAGAAGGAGGTGCATGCAGTTGCTTTAATGGAGTGAAAGAGCTCAAAAACGGCTTCAATGGAGAAGGTGGGAATTCGGAGGTGGTGGCTTGGAAGAGAAGGTGAGAACGAGCTGAGGGAAAAAACAAGTTGAAAAATCCTGGGGAAAGAAAAGAAGAAGAAGAAATACGAGAAGCTCGGTTTTTTTTAATGGCTACTACTATACTAGTGGGCACCGGTTTAAGACGAACCGGTGCCAACTATATTGCTTTCTTCGGTTTTTTTTATTTCTTATTTTTTATTTTTGGATTGGCACCAGTTTTAACCGGTGCTAATTAGATTAGTTGGCACTAGTTTTGGTTGGAACCGTTGCCAACTCTGAATTTTCCAACCCCGCCTATTTCTTTTGGCACCGGTTTTCAAGAACCGGTGCTAAAGGGGGGGTGCCTATTTCAAAATTTCTACTAGTGAACTTTTCTCTTTTCATTTTTCATTTTTCTTTTCTTATCTTCTCTATTCTTTATTTGTTTTTGAAGGGTGATTTTGATGCGATTTGCATTCATTTGATCAAGCATAAAGCATCATTTGGAGGTGCTTAGTGGTTGTAGTGAGAGTTTGTGCTTAATGTTTCTTGATTTTGAGCCATACGAGGAAGGTAGATGCAATTAGGATTGCTAGAGCAAGATTTAGGATGGAAAAAGAGGTAGAACAGGAGAGTGTGGGCGTGAGAGCAAGATGCGCGGGCGCTCCAATGAAAAGCTGAGAGCAAATCTAAGCGCGACCACCTACGCGACCCATGCGCGGGCGCAAGGTTATCTTGCGCAGGCGTGCAGGTGGCTGGCGCAGGCGCGCCCGACTACAGGTCGTGGCTTAGTCTTCTTTCTTTCCTCCTTTTTCCTCATTTTTCATACCCTAACTTTCGACTTCTACTCTTTCTCACTCTAAACTACAAACCCTAACCCCCAAATCTCTCTAAACATCATCCAAATTCACATATTTCCTTCACAAATCCATCATTTGCCACATACTACTCACCATATTTCTTCTTCCTCAAGCTTCAATCTCCATTGGAGACCAAATTGGGGATTTTGAAATTTTGGAGAATTGGTGCTCTAATCTTGGCTCTTCTTGCCTCTTGTATGGTATAATCATCTTCTCTACTCTTATTTGAACTTGTTGTATCACATATGCATGAGAATTTGATTTTTCCATTGTTGTGAATAGTAGTAGTATTTGTATGGGATAACTCCCGCTGAGCTATCTCCAGGCTCCCGGTCTCGTTCACAGGGTGCGCACTCACCGCTGGAAGAACGCCTAAAGGGGTTCACCAGCCCGATAGAGTCAGCCCGCAGGCTGACTAAGTAGGACTCCTCTCAAAGGAGATCGTAAACCTATAAATAAGGAACAAAGTAGAACGGAAAGGAGGTTAGACAAAAGTTATTACACTCTCTTTATCTCTCTAAGTACACTTTCTCTCTCTAAACACATTCTAACTTAAGCATCGGAGGGGGGTTCCTCGAGCCACCCTCGAGGGAAGTCACGTGTGTTCCCTTACGCAGGTTACTAGCTGGACCCATCCTGCCCTAGTCTGAACCCTTAGATCCGTATCCGTAACAATTTGGCGCTAAAAGAAGGGGAAGGATCGTGACAACCTTAGGTTCACCAACTGAGCAAGGACCGGCTGGTTAACCGCCATGGCCGGAAAGGAAGCAACACAAACACCATTTTCAAAAGTCATTAAGACTAATCAGACACCCCAAAAACAACATCAATAACCATCGGATCGAAACCTGGTGTGACGAAGGTGGTGGTAAAACCAGTAGATCCTGAGGGACCTAACTGTTCTTTTAAGTTCGGAATGCCAATGACAGGCCCGAATAATGAACCTATCATCCAAACACCTGTAACCCAGAAACCTCAGCTTGTCAATATGCAAGCCATTCTCCAAAACTTTTCAAAGTGTAGCAAAGAGCAGTTGGCAGCAATGACGACGGTGCTTACTAGCTTTGGCAAAGGAACAAGCTCAGCAGCAACAACTGCTGCTTCGGAGAGCCAGTGGCCAAGAAGCCTGCATCTCCAAACCTCACCTTGGAGCAGAAGGTGTTGATCTAATTGAGGAAGAAGGTGTTACAACTGGAAGCCCGTAATCTAAATTTGGAGTGGGGAGAATATGCAGTAGCAAATAAAGGCAGCCCGGAGGAATGAGTCACTCGCAGCAGAAATCTTAGAGCGAGGGCTAAGCTAGGACAGGGGAAAGCGTGCGCGGCTCCAGGTGATTCCAGATGATACCCCATTTTGCAGGGATATTCTAAAGGGGACGATTAAGAAGATCATGATGCCTAGCTGTAAGTACAATGGTACAACAACACCTAAGAATCACGTCTCCACGTTTGAAAGACACATGGTATTGTACACTATGACTAACTTGGTCTGGTGTAAGGCATTTCCACCAACCTTGGAGGGACTGGCTGCCGAGTGGTGTGGAGCCACCCCGAAGGGATCTGCCTACTCTTACAGCCAGTTAAAGAGGATGTTCATGGAGCACTTTGTCATGCTGGTGGACCGGACCAAAATGACTACTAAGCTGATGTCGTTAGTCCAAGGAAAAGAAGAAGCCCTGCGGGATTTCATTACCCGGTTCAACAAGGAGGTAACAACCATCCCAGACATGAGCCAGGAAGTGGCCCTACTGGCAATGCCTAGTGGTCTCCTACCTGGCGCACCGTTCAGAGCATTCATGGGACAAAAAAGTCTCAAGAAGCTAGCTAAAGCGCTAGGAAAAGCTCACGAGTTCATAGAAGTAGACGAGACTAATAGAGCCATGTTGAGCAAGAGGGCGCTAAACGACCCAGTCAAGCAGGCGAAAGTCACCCGGGCTGAGAACTCAGCCAGGTCAGTGGGAGTTAGGAGAACTGACCAAAGACGAGGAGCACAAGCTGGGAAGTTCTAGCGGTACACTCCGCTGACTCATTCAAGATCTCACATCTTAAGCGTGAATAAACTTGATGATAAGTGGTAGAGACCACCAGAATGGTGAATAGAAACCGTGACCCCATCAAGTGTTGTGACTTTCATAAGGACAATGGACATACCACTGATGAATGTACGCACCTGAAGGACAAAATAGATGACTTAGTCCGGCGCGGATACATGAGCAAGTTCAAGCAGCACTCTGACTACAGCAAACGAAGAGAAGAGGATAAGTCAGGATATTACCGCAGAAGGGATCAGAAGGATCAAGGTGAAGGCAGAGACCGAGACAGCAAGCCAAAAGACAGGGTATATGTGATCGGTAATGGACCAGTGCATGGAGGAACGGTGAATAAGGCAAGGGCTGATCTGCGGGCAATGATTCACCAAATGAGCTATAATAAAAGGCGTAGATGACCGCGACTACTACAGCAACCACGAGCAGTGTTTGACGAGTATGACCAAGAAGGCATAATGTATCCTCATGATGATCCCCTGGTAGTCACGGTAAGAATTGCAAATTAGAAAGTGGATAGAGTATTGATAGATGGTGGAAGCTCAGACAATATAATCATCGTCAGCGCCGGTTCAAGAATTTCATATTGAACAAAAAAGACCAGTAAAGGGTAAGTTATGGAGTCACCGGGTTCAACGGATCAAGCCTCATACCAGAGGGCATAATTGATCGGGGGATAATTGGTCGTTGGTCTACTACCCTAAATCAAATTTAAAATTTATAATCCTAACCTAACTTTATCAAGTTCACACTAGATAGTGGCAAGCTAGGGTCTAACCTTAAGGACTAAGTGTATTAATTTGAGGTAATTAGACTAGTAGGAAGGTTGTGAGATAGGGAGAGAATCATTTAAAACACTACTTAAAGAAATTAACAAGATATTAGGGAAAGGGGAATCCAATTACATTAATGAATTCAATAACAACTCTCAATTAGATGATCATGATCTGAATTAGGAACGATTAACACACTCAGCTCACTCCCGCCCAATTAAGCATGCCAATTATCCTACTAAGCTGATTCACTCCCGCGCAACTAGCCTAGCAAAGGTATGGAAGAATCTAGACTCTCAATCAACTCACTTCCGCACAATTGATTGAAATCACAATTAAGAACCAAGAATCAATTAGCTAAAAAGATTCTAGTCAATGTAAGCATCATCCAAACACAATAATCAAGAATCAATTGCATACTAATTACAACCAATCACTCAATTCATCAACATAACTTTCATCCATTTCCCTAGAACAAAATCTAAGCAAACATAATGAAGGTAAACATGGAAAACAAGGTAAAACTAGAATTAAAGCAAGAATCAAACAAGTAAATTAATTAACTACTATAATCAACAATGAAATAAGCAAAAACAAGAATCAAACAAAGCAATAAAGGAGAGAGAAAGTTAGAAAATCTCATTGAATAGATGAGAAGAGAATCCACAAAATTGCTTCTTCAAGCTCTCAAATCTCCATTAAAATCAAAGCTTTCTATCTCTAAAACTACTCCTAAACTAGAGAGAGAAAATCCTAATCTACCCCTAAACCTCATTAGAGGAGAGAGGAAATGTAAAACTCCCCTTAAGGAAGTCTAAGAATTCCTCTATTTATATTACAAGAAGCAAAAGAAAGAAATCCAGAAACTAAGCTCGAACAAAACCCAGAAACCCGCGCTCGCGGCAAGGCTTCTCCGAGGCATCTCCAAAAACTTGTAACACCTCAGAAGAACAGGGGCATCTCCAGAAAATTGCACCATTAGCCGCGCCCGCGGCGGCTGCGCAGCGTGGCAATGTCTTACAACGGTTATAACTTTTGTTCTAGGAGGCCTCTTGGGGAGTGCAACCTACCGTTGGAAATCTCTTCAAGTCTAGTTTCCAACGCAATTTGAATCGCCTCAATTTAACGTTTAGATCAAAAGTTATGGTTGAAAGAGTGAATAAGACTCGGTTTAAGGCCTTCTACGAGCTTCAAGCTTTCTTGCCTCAATCTTCGTTCTTTGCTTCTTTCTTAGCTTCAAGCTTCTTCTATTGAACTTTCTTTCCTTTTTCTTGGGTCATAAGCATCGAAGAAAGTGTCAAGCACCTACACAAATAGACTAAGAGAGAAAAGAGTGAAAGAACACATAGAAAAACACGCAAATCAAGCTAGAAACCAAGCAAAAAGCATATTATTAACAACTAAGGCTAAAAACCATAAACCTAGACAAAGATAACTAAAACAAGACTAAAAGGAATATAAATAACAAAGAAACACCGAAATAAACCTAAAACTAAGGGAGAAGAACGCCCTAAAATGTGTTATAAATGATACTTATCAAATTCCCCCAAGCTTAACTCTTGCTCATCCTCGAGCAAGACAAAACCAAAAGAAAAAAGGAGAAGGATTTATTCAAGGAAGACTAGCACACTAAAGTAGACGAGAATGTACACTAACTCACTTTTGTAGGAATCACGGTCAATTTTAGCAACTAAAGACAAGCCCTTTAAACCCCTAGATCGCTCTTGAGGACGAGTGTGCTGTCGTGAGGGTTTCCTAAGAGTTTAACCCATAACTCTTGAAAAAAACCAAGCAAAACAAGGCAAAGCATAAAAAGGAAATCAAAAGAAAAGGAAGGAAAACAAATGTTCATGAATGGACTTTTGGAAATGAACAAGCACAAATGAATACAAGTCTTTCTAAACAATAGAGGAATACACGCTTCAAGATATCCAAGGTTGATTGAAACATAAGAAATACTAAGCATAGAGAACTAATAAGACACAATTCAGCTTCATCCCAAACGATCTTACCGCGTTCTCCCTACTAGTTTCAAATTCACCTCTAGTGAGCATCTCAATGATTCCACTAGGGAACCGGAAAAGAAGAGATTTTAGAGCTACTCAACATCTTGACTATGCAAACCGCTCCATAAGCTTGAATCCCATCTCCCTCCACCGACTTGTGACTCAACCACAAAGGTCAAAAGGTCTTCGAAGGGTTGTAATGTATGGGAAAAAAGGGGAA